ATATCTACAACTTTGCTGAAGACACCAAATCAATCGAACAAAGCGTTTCGGCAATGTATATTTTTAAACTCATTAGTACTATTTTTACACAGGCCCTTTTCAAAAAGTAGTCGTGATTCAATATGAAAAACTGAGAGCACAAAATGGCGCCTTTACTAAAAAGGAACAACTGTGGAATGTTTCAGCGTAATTGGAAATGATCGGTCAGGAGCGATTTGCGAACCTTCGTGGAATGCCTCAACTGTCAACGCAGGGAGGGTTTTTTTTCCTTGATTTGTTTTCCGTCGATCTCATTTTCCGTACTGAGTGAGTACCAATGCTACCGACGCCAGGGATGCAGCTTAGCTTCTACACCTGAATCCTACCTATCGACCTAACAAACTCATAGAGATTTTATGCCTCAAAAAATCCCGGTGGCGCCGACTGGGATTGAACCCAGGCCTTTTAGGGTGAGAGGCAATCACGCTTACCACTACACCACCGGCGCCACTACGCAGGGAGGATGTTAAAATCAATTAAAAAACTGTCTACGTATTTCATGTATAGCCCCTTATTGGTGGACACTAGACTTTTTGAAATGGTTCCAAACCGGGTCCTGATCATCCTTCCGAAAGTTGAACTCGTTTAGTTAAAAACAGCATGTGCACAAACCATTTAAAATTTATATTTCTCTCAGACAAAGTTCAAATTATCAGAGGCTAATTAGGACCTAATTTGGAACCGTTTAAGCACTGTGGAGCGAAAATGTCAAATTTTACAGCAATATAGTGGACACGTCGTAAGTTATTAAAATGAACTTTTCGTAAACCATGAGGTCCCCCTTGTGCTTGTCTACAGTCCATATAATATAAAAAATATAATCTGGTATGGGAAACTATTAACACAGCTGATTTTCTTAAGGGGTATAAAATCCCACAAAACTGTTTACGTAATTTATGGATGGCAGCTAAACAATTGCACATTTTTTTCGTTGAAATACTCAATCAGTGCAAAGTTACTCAGGTCCAGTGCAATGCCAATTACAACGGGCAACATTTTAAAATAAGCTTTAACAAGCTTTCAATAGAAGCTTCATCATTAAATCCATACAAAAGTTCGGTAGCCGGCGCCGGTGGAGTGGTACGCGTGACTGCTTTCTCACCCCAATGGGTCTGGGTTCAATCCCAGCCAAGGTCGGTGGGATTTTTCTGAGGCATAAAATCTCTGGCCACGTCTTCCTTCGCAAGGGAAGTAAAGCCGTTGGTCTCGGCCCATGTGTATTAAATTGAATGGGTGCGATATCCTACGTAGGTGTGGAAGCTGCCTTCCTGCACATTCGATTCCCTTAAATGGATGGCAATCGATGTCCGTCGGTGATTGACACTAGATTGCGGAACAGAGACCGACGTTAAATAAAGAAAAAAAAAGTTCAGTAGAACTTTGCACAGAACAGCAGTTTTAGAGGGTTTGGACTTCAGTGTAGTACAAGTTTATTGAGCACGGGAACATATTTTATCTCCGAAATGAGGAAAATGAATCATGATTTCATGAACATAGCGTATTTTCATGTTATGAAAATACACCATGAAAAAATTCATGATATCATGAGCTATGTTTGCGTAACGCACCAAAGATTCCCGAAATCATGAATCATCCAAGTTTAAATCATGAACTAAATTCATGAATTAAACTTTTAGCTTTTAAACCAACATATGTAAAAAAATAAATAAAATAAAGCATCAGACTGGATTTGGACCAACAACCTTACAACCATACTTTGACCACTAGACATATCAGTAGTTGTATAATATGGAAAGCAAAAGGCGTATAAGAGATACCTATGTAGTGCGGTGAACACGGTTTGCCAGGTAACGCTTGTAGCGGTCATGATTCCACTGCACTATGAAATCATGAATTTCCATCACGAAATCTTGTTATGATTTCATGGGATAGCAAGTTTTTACATTTCATGATTGTTTATTCATGAAAATGGAATCCCAACAAACAATTTTAGCAACAGACTAGCTTATACAGCCATAACCAGCGAGAAAGGAGTCAACATCGAATCAGGAACGGAAATCAGTGCGGATTTATCTGCCTCGGAAAATAAGAAAAACCCGGAAAAGGCGGAATCATGTTAGAACCAACCAAGAACGATCTACGGAAGGAAATTGGCGGTGAAGCACGGAATGAAATACGAAGCGTTAGAAGAAAACTCCAAGGGATTCCAAAAGAAGCAATTAACGGCGGTGGAAGAACAGAATATGGTAAGAGCTGTCCAAATTAAATATCAAAATTAAAATAAATACATGCCAGGTTTGAAAATGATATGTTCGAACCTGGAAGTGTGTACACTGGAGTCGCTTTTTACGCGGTTTTTTTTTACACGGTTTTTTTTACGCGGTTTTTTTTACGCGGATTTCGGAATTTACGCGGTTTTTTTTACGCGGATTCCGGAATTTACGCGGTTTTTTTTACGCGGATTCCAGAATTTACGCGGTTTTTTTTTACGCGGATTCCGGAATTTACGCGGTTTTTTTTTACGCGGGACTTATCACCCGCGTAAAAAGCGACTCCAGTGTATATATAACCAATATCCATTTGATAACGGTGATGCATACATGCGGGGTTATTGTGAGTGAAAGTAACCTTGGAATGGGCGTGACCAGGCATGGAAAATCATTTGCATTCATTTCATACATTCATTTACATTCATTTGCCTATAACTTTTTTCATCAACAGCATTCTGCTAAATGATGTACAGAACTTTTGTAGGATTTGTTATTAGCTACAACTTTTGCTCATAACTCAAATCTGTATCTCTTATGCATCCGAACTGTATCTCTAGAGCGGGCAGAACTTGTTACTGTTTTTCAGTGAATGTAAAATACATTCACTGGAGAACTGTAGTGCCTTCTGTTTGCTCTGGTTCGTCATGAATAAGAGAAACGAATTTGACTTGCAAACAAAAGTTGTAGCTAATAACAAAACCTACAAAAGCTCTATACATCATTTTGAGGAATGCTGTTGAAGAAAAAAGTTATAGGCAAATGAATGTCACTGAATGCACGAAATTAATGCAAATGATTTTCCATGCCTGGGCGTGACTCACCAGATACTCTGAAATGGGTTGCTGGATCTGCAATAGAGCTATCACCTTCTAACTCCCGGACTAAAGCTGTCTACAATGACCATAAATGCGACATTGTAGAGATAGTTCTTCCATAATAACACTGCCGGCCAGTGGGGGACACACACATACTAGCTAATACAGCCAAAAATTTGCTGTATAAGCTAATCTACAGCTAAAATTGATAGCTGGGGATGTCCCTCACTGAAAAACTTGTTTGTTTTCATGATGTTGATATACTTACACAAAAAGTTGCCCATAAATGATCGAAACTGAACTTAAAGAGAAAGGGGGAAGGACCTGATCTGATCTACAATGTAGGTATTGCGCATTTCTCACCAAACTAGACAAATAAGCGTCTTTTCACTTATTAAAATTTATGATAAAAACGCACGTTTACGTCAAATCGTTTTGTTGTCTTGGGTGCACTTATTCCTTATGAAGCAAGAAATAAGCTCCCCGAAGATAACAAAATAATTTGACGTAAACGTGCACATACTTTTTTCCATTTTTGGAGCAGTCTAGTTTTAGTTGCAACCAACTATGTGATTGTTGTTTGTTGAATTCTGTTTCAAATTTTATGTCTAATTAGTCAATTAGTTTTTCAGAGTGTAAAACTTTTTGTTTACCGAAAATATAGAATATTACGCTGTCGTACAATATATGAATGTCAAAATGGCACTGGTAAAGAAAGCAACAAGTGTGCAAGTGGTCAAAGAAAACAAAGTTGAGATGGTAAAGCTTCATTTTAAATGTAATAGCCAAGGGAAAAAAAGAAAAATAAATTAAGTTGCAAATTTACCGTAACTATATTTCTAAAATACACACTTAGAAATTATCGCCGACTTCGGTTATTTTTACCGAAATCTGAACAGCTGAACTGTTCTGTAAAATTTATGCAATTCAGTTCAAATGCTTTTCAGCTACTTTGAAACTAAATCTCCACTAAAATGACTAGATTTGATCATTTAAACAAGGTTGAACATGTTTTAAAAATTATTTCCAAATTCAATAGCCTTTAAAATGAAGGTCAAAGTTTTACCGAACATTCAGCTGTTCTGATTTCGGTAAAATTTACCGAACACGGAACCAAAATCTTAGTGTGTAGAATAGCCATGTGTCAAAAATACATGGAGGAATGTTTATTAATGTTCAGAGCAATCCTTGTATTATGTTTCAAAAAATGGTTAAAAATCTGTAAAGTTCTGTATTCCAATATTACAGTCGCAAGTAAATTCACATAATTTTAGAAAACAAAAAAAATCTGTCTAAATTTATATTTTAAGTGAAACATGCAACCGACATTCATAAAATAGATATAGTTTTAATAGTTTTATAGTTTTGTTAATTCGTCAGCTTATGTTTAATATGTTCCTGTGATGCTAGGGTTGCCTGATTCTAGTTCATTATCGAATTTGAGAGAGTTGACTGTACCTTACCAGCATGAAAGGTGCCTCTAAACTCTATTCAACGTCATCAATGCATCCAGACAACATAAAATTTTACGAAGGTAGCATTAGACGCAGACAAAATGGTCGTAAGGTGCAGAACAGCAACATAATTGATCAATATAATTCTTTTTTGGATACACCTAATTAGATACAGGTAGATAAACTGTAAGCATAGCATCGAAACAGTCTACTAAATAGAATGTATCGTCAGGTACTAGGATTTCACAAGTGCTGCACGAGAGAGAAAATTAAATTCTACTGAAAGAGGTAGGAAAAGTCTTATCCTCGTGTACTAGAACACGTCTGCACTGGCTATGGTGACACTGTGACACCAACAGTAGCATAATTTTCCATACGCGCACACACGTCTCAGTCATGCGAGCCAGTAGGAAGGGACGAATGCGAGCTTTGCTTTGTACACCACCTATACTGAACTCTAGAGTCGTTCTGACTGCGAACCGGCAAAGCTGCGAGTCATACTAGCTCCTAAGCCGCTTGGCGACTCAAACTGCGCGAGGCAGTTGAGAATTTGTAGCGACTATAAAAACAAATTTGCAAAATTTTCTATCAGTCAGTTACGGCGGATCTACTGCGGTGGTAACATACATCCAGAGGTAGCGGCTGACCAGTGCATTTGTGTCCTGGAACGATAATCCTGAAAGCTTTCTTCAAATGGACTACTTGTAATGGACTATTCTTAAGTGAGAAGTGACTTCAAAGAAGATTGTGATTCGAAGGAAGGAAGCAAAATTATAGAACCAGTTTTCCAGTGATTGTGTGGTTGGATGATAGGTACCTTAGTACATCATTTGTGATAGTTAAAATCGGAAACGAAAATTTTCAGTGAGTGCACAAAGGAACAGTAATTTTCTTAAAATGTCCGCGACGGTTGCACCAGCGGACCATTTGACGGCGAATGGCAACATCGCTTCTCCCATGAACGTGTTCTATTTCCTGCTTGCACCAGCGCTGCTCCTATGGGTTATCTACTGGCGGTTATCCCGCCGACATATGCTTCAGTTAGCTGAAAAAATTCCTGGCCCTCCCGGATTACCTCTTGTAGGAAACGCACTGGAACTGATTGGAACCTCTCATTGTAAGTACGAAATAATGTGTGCGCAGGTTTAGCATGGTGTAATGGAAAAACAATTCGTGCTTTGATTATTATTGATAATTGATACCAGTGGTTAGCTATACAACAAATTATAGCGTCAAAGTAAAAAGAATTTTTTTTCCTAAATCCTAATACTGTAAAGTTGAAAAAATAATGAAAGTGAAAATCCATCGGAGGCAATGGCTATGAAATGTTATCAAAACTAGCTTCGCTTTTTAATAAGAAGCCTTTAACAATTAGAATTTTTAATTATCCAATATTCAAGTGATAAATCTCGCGTCACTTTTCAAATAGACCAACCTACATTGATCAATTCTCTTAATCCACTCTCTCTTTTCCAAATAACTCGGCTACACGAACGTTTCCTGTTGCGTCTTCCATCGAACCGTGTGTCGAAAATATCCTAACACGGTCGTGGTGATAAAAAAAGAAAGTCGATGAAGCGATTCGATCAAGGTATACGCGAGAAATGATAATCATTTGTGATAGATTATTAACGCTACTTCGTCGTACTCCCGCTTTTTCTTCTTCTATACTTTTTACGTGTCTTTTGCTAACAGTTTGTCAAACAGCGGGAATCGAACCAGCCTGCACTGCACGTTTTATTTCCCCAAAACATTATTCATAGAATAATTAAAAAAAAAACTATAAAAAAATCGTGAAATGAATGCAGATGAAGCCATTTTTCGTTCAGTATCAGTACTTTAAGTACTCAATATGAAACCCCTACCATACGCTCATCTTACTCTTTATCAATATAATCTAAATGCAAAGCAAAATAATGCCATCACATTTTTAAAGTATAATTTTACATTGAAATACGATTGTTCATTTTGAATAATTTTTTTTTTTCGTGTTTTGAGTAGTGAGTAGTGTTTTGAGAGTAAGAGTTTAGCAGTTTACAACTATCAATCAGTGACTCTGATTAAAGGTGTTCGACTGATTGAACGAAAAAAAAATCGAAATGACTGCTCAATTTGAAACCAATTCTATAATTAATTTCCATATAATGTGACAATATAAGTATAGATAAGAAATCTTTTAGTAAACTAATCAATTTTTGATATTATCTCGGACTCTAAATCATAAACGGATCATCTTCAGAGGGTACGATAGGTTAGCAACGTTCGCTTAAAGATAGTTTGCAGTAGCTTGCCAAACGGATATAATTCCTTCACTGTATTTTTCTTAACAGACTTCTTTCAATTAGGATTCAGAAGAATTATAACATTTACCATTTGTCAAAACAATATTGCACTGAAATTATTTGTACACTTATTTGTTTATCGCAACAATTTTGAAAATTTGATTTATTTACAGAAGAAATACTTTAATTTTCTGTGAATGCATTTAAAGCTCCATACATTTGCATTGAATTTTACATTCATCTGCGTATTGCATAGCAGTTTAAAAGGCAATTGAAATTAATTTATTTTTCAACGAACAACGATAAAAATTATATGAACGCGTAAATTTCTGCTTTCATTCTTTGAATAACAGATTGTTAAACGTGTAATTTAATGTTTAAAAACCTGCTCCAGTTCACAGATGAAAATTGCACAATATTGTCATCTGTGTATGCTTTTTTTTTTGTTATATTAATAGTTAATTTCATTCTTGTATAAAGTTCTCTTATTCTAGCTCCATTTCACTTCACACCGCTAATAGACAAATGATTGTTTTTAACAATAACAAACCATTTCTATATCATTCTCAATTTTAAATTGTTTGAAATCGCAAAATTGATAAAATTATGTCAAATTGTCATTCCCCCAATGTCAATTTCTTAAATTTGCGATTTTATAAAAGTGAAAGGTATCGTAAAATCGCCATAAAGTTTAAAGTGTTTTACACTACAGCTCAACATTTTTTTAAATCTACCATTAAAAATCATGTACTGTACGTGAAAGTATATTTGCTGGCGTTATTAATAATTAAAACTTCACAATGTTAGATAAATTATGTTATTTGTTTTACAAATCAAGTTTCATAATCCAAGGTCAACCTTTTTACTCAGTCAAGATCAATAAAAACAGATTTGTATGAAGTTTTCAGAGTATGTCAGCGCACCCAATTTTAGTTTATCTATTGAATCTTCTTGTCACCTTGATTATCAAAATGATAGGCCTTACCTTACTTATCAAAATGATAGGCTATAACCGATCTTTATGTTTCACATTTGATCAATAGTGGGAGCTCCCTTGGTCAAGGAATTGGGTTGGAAAATACTCGACTTCCATGGACATAATAGAGTATCATAGGGTATGCCTCACAATTATACTAATGCGAAAATGGTATAGGCATCGAAAGCTCTCAATTAATAACTGTGGAAGTGCATCTATAGAATACTAAGTTGAGAGCACGCAATATGCTAATAAGCGATAAGAAATAAGATTGAAATGCGAAGAGTCTTGGACCGAGGTAATGCTCTCCTTATTGATTTTCGGAGATGTAAGTTGCCTTGTCTTTGCTGTCTTAAACTTGACACCTTATATTATATTTAATCTTTAATTATTATTGTTTTCGAACGCAAGATCGTACAGACTGATTAAAAGGACTTAGTTCTATTCTTATAGATTAATCTACTAATATCTATCGATATTTGGTTTCATTACGTCCCTGCAGGGACTTTACGCCAGCTTCCACAATTATTAATTGAGAGTTTTCTAAGCCAGTACCCTTTTTTGCATTTTTGCATCTTTGCCCAGTAGACTGATGCAAAATTTGAAATTACTATGGGGATTTCAACTTTTTTGACATATTCATCTATCAATCAACCATATCGCTCTACTATAAAAAAAATGATAAGTGTGCTTGTAGGAAATTACAACTTTGTTGAATACCACTTTTCGATTAAATGTAAGGAACACAAGTTATTAACGATTCAAGCCACTGGTGTCTTATGATTATGCTCAATCAACTGTTCAGCAGGTAACATTGGAGTTTCTGGAACGTAGAGTAGAGCACAACAAGTATGGCTACTATGTCACACTGCAAAATACAGCTGCTTGATCATGCCATAAGATTATCAATCTCTTAAACAAGTAATTACTGTTTAATTTGACGTTTGGCTGAAAAACAGTCTACCGCAAAGTTACAGCTGAAAAAAAAATCCTATAAGAAAAGTTATAGAACTTTTTGAAAGTGCAATATAGAATAGGTTATGAATAAAAACTTTGTTTTTCCCATAGTAATATCCATATAAACTTTAAATGATTTGTGCCTAGCCAGTTTCATAAAAAAAAATAAGATCAAATTTTAGGAGGCTAATCAGGATCCGATTTGAACCCGTTTGAGCACTGTGGAGCGAAAATTTCAAATTTTGCATCAGTCTAATCCCAGGGAAGTCAAGAAAATGTTCAACCCGAAACTTCCAAGACCGTACCGGGAATCGAACCCTGCCGCCTCCAGCATGGTCTTGCTTTTTAGCTATGCGTTTACCGACTGAGCAAAGGGAGGAGTGAGGACTAATTTAATAATGTTCAAATCAAAAACCTCACTGGCTTGATTGAAAGCTCTGCAGCATGCATCTAAGGGATTACGTTTGCTAAAGCTGGATTAGTGACTAGGAACCCGTAAAATTTGTTAATACCGTAACTAGTGGGCTGGGGCATGCTAGCACACATTTTGAAGTATAGTGTTACAGTAAATGTTTCCGATCAAAGTGTAGAAAATGCACCACCTTGAGGCATCAATCGTCTAATTTCTAGAGATCGCATTCCAATAAATACACATCATTGCTCATAAGGTGATCGGTTGAAGGGATTATTCCAAAATTGACCACGTGAAACATATCTGAAGAAGCATTTCTGAATTTAATCGACTCATTGTACATGATCGGCGTGATACGGAAGCCGGTAGCTAGTGTTTCTAACCCGGGACGTCCCGACTAAAATTGTCCAAAATTCATATTTTCCTATTCCGGGGATACCGTTTTTTAGTGTACAGAAGCCATGCTAAACATAAAACACTAAACATGACGATACTACCAAGTAAATTTACTCATTTGATTGACTTGCTGAAATTGGAAGAACCTATCAAGAGGAGCCAGTATACACCTCTGAAGGAAACTGGTAGAAAATTCCAGGGACTTTGAAGGAAACTGCCGTTAAAATTCGACAGAAATTTCAATGGGAACTATGAGAAACATTCCGTAGACATTCGAAGACACTTTCAGGGGAAGCCAAAAGGACTTTCCAGGAAGTCGGAAGAATCTTTGAGATGAAGTCAGAAGCAACTTCGGGAGAAATAGGTAAACAAATCCCGAGATGTAGAAATACTTGTTTGGAGAATATTGGAAGAAATTTCCTGGTAAAACTGTAATAATAAGTTGAAACAATACTTGTAAAAATACTTGTTTGGAGAAAAATGGAATAAATTTCCTGGTAAACTCTAATTATAAGTTGAAACAATATTTAATAGACACTTCCGAGCAAGATGTGAAAAATTTTCAGGATAAGTTGAAAGAGACTTCCAAATTAAATTGAAAGTAATTACTGGAATCAGAAGACAAGCAAAGGTAGTCTTCAAGGGGGAACCGGAACAAACTTTTAGGCATGCTTAGAAGAGTCTTCCGTGGGAAGTTAGAAGGAACATCCCGGTGAAATGGGAAATAATTTCCACTTTCAGAGGAAGCCAGCAGCGCTTCTTAGGGAAACGAGAAGATACTGTTGGATCGGAAAGTTAAAAAAAACTTTAGTTGAACTATGGAAGAAATTTCCGATGAAAGTTGAAAGGAGCTTAGATGGAGCTAGGGATAGAAGATAGATTCATCCAGAGTAAGTTGGAAAAAACTTCCGGAAGATTTTGGAAGAAACTTTCGTTTAATGCCGGATGAAACTTCCGATAGAAATCATAAAAATCCTTCCAAAGAAACCGGCCAAAATCTTCAAGGGAAATTAAGAGAAACTTCAGGAGAAATATCCAGAATTCTGGATTAACAATAGAAAATGCCCCACGCAAACCAACACCATTATCGTCTG